GACTACTATTATTATTATGTTTTTCTACAAAATATTAAACACAAATATTTAAATTTTTAAATTATTATTAAATTTTATTAATCAGCAACAGTTTCTTTTTTTCATTTTTCTTTTTTTTTTTCTTTGTAACATAATTTGGGTATACAGTTCATTCACCCTCCAAATTTGCAATAATGATAAGGAAATAATGAAATGATTGAATTTCTATTAGCTTTTTATCATGACCATATGATTGAACAACTTAATTATGATATCTTTTATTCAGGTAATTTAATGATGATAATTTTTATAATTGTTATAAGTAAATGATGCTGATTTCATTGTTAGTTTTTATCGTATTTTATTTAATTAACAGCTATTTATGTTTATGATTTGATAAAATTATTGATAATTTGGAATAATATCATTTTATTTTAGTTTATAAATAATAAATTCTAGGAAACTTTATTAATAGTATATTGTTTGATTTTCATTTAAATCGCTGCATTTTAATCAAAAAAAATGCAATAATTTAAATTCAAATTTATTAAAATGATAGGAAATGATTTATATATAATATTACAAAATTTTTTAGCTTATAATCAATCCAAAAAAAAAAAACTAAAGAAATAAATAAAAAGAAAAAATAATTATGCAATTATTTTAGTTATCTGATTGTAAAGTTATTTGTGCTGTATAAAAAAGGAAAAAAAGGGAAAAATGGGATTATTATCACAAATTTCGATTGCTTTGGGCTGTTTCACGAAAACAGGTAAATATTCTAATGATTGGACTTGATAATAGTGGCAAATCAACCATTATCAATCAAATGAAACCACACGAAGATCAAGTAACTCAGGTTTATTTGTTTTATAATTTTGAAAATATTTTTTGTTGATTTATCAAGTTACCGTAGGAATAACAAAAATAGATTGAAGATATTCGAGGCAAAACATATGAATTAATTTGTAAAAAAAAAAGGAAAAAATGCTTAATATTTTAAGGATATATAAGAATAATGTTATATAGTTGAAAGAGATTTATTGAGAATATGTGATGTGAAATTTACATAATTAATAATGCTTTTCAAATTTTAATCAAATTAAAAAAAGGAAAACATAAAATAAAAGAAAAAACAAAAGATGATATTATGGAATTGTAAAGTGTGACACTGAAATTTTTGTAATTTTAATAAATTTAAATTTGATTTGTTTTTTCTTTTAAATTTACTTAACAAATTACTCCCAGTAATTTTAATAAATCTAAATCTGATTTTTTTCTTTTCTGTCTTAAATTTATTTAACAAATTTCTTGTCAGGTTATGCCATCAATTGGTTGTTCAATTGAGAAATTTATTTTTAACAATACAACATTTATGGTACATGATATGTCTGGACAAGGTATAATTTTTTTTTTCATTTCATTTGAAATAATTTAAAATTGTCAAACTTTACAGGATTTATGATTATAAAAAAAAAAGAAAAGGAAAATGAAGGATTTTATAAATTTGCAAATCTAAAATCTGCTTGAAATGATACAAATTATATCCATGATAGTTTCATCATTTTCTATAGGGAAATACCGGAATTTATGGGAGAATTACTATAATGAGGTAGATGGTGTAGCATTTGTGGTTGATAGCAATGATCGATTACGGATGGCAGTTGTTCGCGATGAATTACGGTTACTATTGGATCATAAAGAATTTGCTCAAAGAAAAGTTTGAATTAATTTTATAATTTTATAAATTCACTAAAACCATCTTCATTGTCTTACCATATAATTCATAATGTAATATGAAGATTTGGATGGAATGTAAAATTCAGTAATTTAATTTAAAAATCTCAAATTTTATCTTATCAGATAAAAACAAACAATTTTAAGTAATTGTATTAATTAATTTAAAAACTTTTTTTTCTCACTTTTAGAAATTATCTTTTTTAAGTATTTCAAGTGCCGTAAAATTGTTAACAGCATTTGAAATTCTTTTTAACGTTTATCAAAAATTTTTTCAATTAATCTGATCCCATGGGAATTGATAGCGTTTTCAAGCATTCTTTAATCAGCAATAACCATCAGCTAATTTTCTGTACCGTAGTAAATTATCAGTTTTGATTGGAAAAAATTAAGCGGGATTTCCAGTTAATGCTAAATTGAATGATATTGCTAAAGATTTTAGTAATTACGATCTATCAGGTATTATAGCGCAAACATTATATCATCGTCTTTTTTTTTTTTTTTTTCCCTGCAATTAATACATATCCATTCAAAGGAAATCACTATCAGAACATTTCCAATTTCAATGATTAATTTTTGCTAATCTTAAAATGCTTATTGAAAATAAATTGCTTAGGGAATTTTATGCAGTTTCATTGCTTTTTTTTTTTCAATAGTTGAAGAGCTTTTGAATGTATTTCATTTGCTTGAAATAAAAACAAGTAGTAATTTAATTTTTTTATTGATCGATAAAATAAGTTAGTCATTTTGGTTTAAACTAAATTTTCATTAAGGAATACTGTTCCTCTTCTTTTTTTTCCTTTCTTCTTTATTCTTCATTATTATAATACTTTTTTAAATATTATCATTAAATAGCTCTGTTAAAATGAATTAATTTAACACTCTCTATATCATAACAATATTAGTTACAATAAATAATAGTAATAACAATAATAATAATAATAATAATAATAATAATAATAATAATAATAATAATAATAATAATAATAATAATAATAATAATAATAATAATAATAATAAATAATTTGATAACAATAACAATAAATAATGATGATAATGAAAGTGCAGAAAATTGATTGATATTTTTCGGTATAACTATAGCAACAAAAAGTCTGGGAAGAAAAAAAGGAAGAAGTTGAAAAGAAGGAAGAGGAAGTGATAATAATGCTATTTGAAATTTTAAATTTCATTAAATTTCATTAAAACTAAATCAAATTTTCAATGGAAACATTATTTTGCTTAAAATTTTTTTTAATATATAATGGGAAGAATAAGAATTTTGGCTTTTTTAGGTACCACTTCTTATATTTGCCAATAAAATGGATGAAAAAGGTGCAATGAGAACTTCGGATATTAGCGATAGCATAGGCCTAAATTCGATAATTAATCGAAATTGGCACATTTGTGCAACATGTGCAATCACTGGTCAAGGCCTTAACGATGGTTTTCAATGGTTATTGGAAAATATTCGAGCATATATGGAATCTAAGAGTAATTGAATTTATGAAAAATTAAATTTTACATTCATTGATTAATTCATCAATTAATCATTTTTTTTTTTTGTCACAAATGTGTCGCAAATATTCGCATATATCGCAAATTGTAATCATTAGTTTATGATTGAGCTAAAAGTTGTGGTAAAATTTAATCGGAAAATTTTATGTTTAATTTTACTTATATTTAAAGAAAAAAAAATTTTCTTTTCATTTCATTAAATGGATATTTTTATGTTAATTATTTATACATTTACATATAATCGTTAATTTATCATTGAATAATTTCAAAATTTCACAATACTTTGAATACATTCATTGCAAGCAATAATTTTATATAAATAATGGTAGCGATAAAATTCCTTAAATTTGAAATTAAATGTTAAATTCGTTTTTTTTTCCATTTTTTTTTTTCTATTCAACTCTTTATTTTTACAACAAAAATTCGGAATAATTCATTTTTATATCGGTTTTTTTTTCCCCTTTCCCTCTCTCTCTCTCCTTCTCTCTCTTCCTCCCTGTGTGTGTGTA